AAAGATTACAAAACAGAGAAGTAAACAAAAGGGGAGTGTGTTTCAGTGCTCCTCCACTTCCTTCTTTCATAGTACTACCTCCTCACTTCCTACACATCTGTGTTTCTCAGTTTCCTTTGTACTTACTAATTAATTATAAAGAATTATTTTATGCCTTAAGAAAAAAAATAGCCTAAAATGGTAGCTTTAAAGCAACAGAGTTCCAATATAAATAAAATACGAAATAAATATTCTCTAAAAAGGGGAATGGCTCCAATAATCGAGAAAATGTGTTGGTGAGGTGGAGCAGAATCCAAACTGGAAGTAATTTACTTGTTTGCTGACTACGATGGTGCATACTTGTAATTCAAACATTCAGGACACTGAAGCATCCTGTCCTAGTTAGGGTTACTATTACTGTGATGAAACACCATGACCAAAAGGGTTTATTTGGCTTACACTCTATCGTTACTGTTCATCTTCAAAGAAGTCAGGGCAGGAACTCACACAGGACAAGGATCTGGAGGCAGGAGTTGTGATGCATAGGCCATTGAGTGTGCTGCTACTGTCTTGCTCCACATGGCTTGCTCAACCTGCTTTCTTATAGAACCCAGGACAACCAATCCAGTGGGACCACAATGGGCTGGGCTCTCCCATATCAGTCACTAATTAACAAAATGTTCTACAGGCTTGCTTGCAGCCAGATCTTATAGTGACATTTTCTCAACTGAGGCTCCTTCTTCTCCAATGATTCCAGCTTCAGTCAGTTGACATAAAAATAGCAAGCATACATCCCAACTTCATGAGGTGAATCTCAAGCTGGAGACCAGCCTTAAGCAACATAGGAACTTAAGGATAGCCTGTGCTACATATGGAGACCCTGTCTCAAAAAGGAGAAGTTCTAACTTTTTAAATTGTTGTTTTCCATTTCAGGAATTTGGAGACAATTTCACGTTATTCCTACAATAAGTTGAAGAATCATTTCTATTTTATTTGCCTACAAATTTTATTTAAAAAAAAAAAAGGGACGCCAGACGTTGGTGGCTCACGCCTCTAATCCCAGCACTCGGGAGGCAGAGGCAGGCGGATCTCTGTGAGTTCGAGACCAGCCTGGTCTACAAGAGCTAGTTCCAGGATAGCCTCCAAAGCCAGAGAAACCCTGTCTCGAAAAACCAAAACCAAAAAAAAAAAAAAGGGGGGGGACTATCCTAATATTGTGTTAACTTATCCGCTGAACTCTCACAAAGGCAGGTCTCACCTGTAAGAGACTCAAGACTACACAGTTCTCCTGAGACTCTGGCTTTCACTGTAAAGTCATGGGTCTGCTATGATGAGGTCCTCCTCCTTTCTTCCTTTCCTCACCTCTTCTGCTTCTCCTCCCCAAAGGTACCCAGAGTAACCCAATGTAAAAGCCAGAAGCCAGGTGTGGATGCCTAGCAATTTTGTTTAAATGAGTGAAAATTAAAAGTTCAGTTCTTTATTGAGGTGTGATGGCTCACATATGTACTCCAGAGATTGGGAGTCTGGAACAAAGGGTTGAGACCAATTTGGACCACTTAGCCACACACCCACACACCACCCACACCCATACACAAAATTTAAAAAATTTCAAAACCCTCAATTCTTTGAGTTAAACTAGCCACAATTGACGTAATCAACAGTCATCAGCACAGGAAGATCTGCTGGTCAGCACACTGTGTACCCAGCTCATCTCCAGTTCAGATTACTTTCTGCTGTTTGCAGTAAGGAAATCAAACTCTGTATTCAACAGAAATGAAGGAGTGGGGTGATCCTTAGGCCAGATGTAGATGATTACCATATACAACCAACCCAGGAACCTTCTCTAATACCACCAAAGTTTTGTCTTGTTTTGTAGTACTAGGGACTGAACTTTGGGTGCTGAGTGTATTAGACAATTACTGAACTTATTCCTACCCTCTTACTACTTTACTTTGAAACAGGTCTCACTAACTTGTCCAAGCAGGCTTTGAACTTCTGATCTACCTGCTTCAACATCCTCAGCAGATCACAGGCCTGTGTTAGCCAGGCCCTGGGTACCCACCAGTTGTTTTTTGTTTCTGCTTTTTTTTTTTGGGGGGGGGGAGTTCTGGTCATGTTGCTTTATGTATTTTACTACATTCAAGTACAAGCTAATATTTATTTATATTTTATTTTTTTATTTTTATTTTTTTATTTAATTTTGTTTGGTTTTGTTTTTCGAGACAGGGTTTTTCCCTGTGGCTTTGGAGGCTGTCCTGGAACTCGTTCTTGTAGACCAGGCTGGTCCCAAACTCACATAGATCCGCCTGCCTCTGCCTCCGAGTGCTGGGATTAAAGGCGTGCGCCACCACCACCCGGCAAGATTTAATTTTTAAAGCAGCTCATTTTTTTCTTAGTTAAAAATTATTATAGTTGGGCCTAGTATTCATTTCTTTTATTTCCTGTAACTGTAAAATCAAGACGTATTCAGTATTTATTGGTGGATTTAAATGAAATATCAAGTTCCACAGTTAACGAATACATCTGAAATAAGCCCAAATTCATGATCAGGTTGAAAAAAGGGAGCATACTATAGTATTCTACTGTGTCTTGTCCTTTAATCTGCTTTTATTCTCTTCTACCAGTAAGATATAAGAAAGTAGATTTGAGGCAACAAATTAGATTGGTTCATTCAGCCAGATGAGTCTGATCAGTCAGTCTGAACAGGCTTCTCAAAAATAAAGATTAACTTTTTACTATAGAAGACTTTAGAACTGTAAACACATTCAATACACATATCTGAAAGACACACGCAGTCGTCTCCAGGAAGGGCAATGGCATAGGCAAGAGCAGGAAACAGGCAATTTTTCATTATCTCAACATTTTTCGTTTTAAATTTTGTTCCATGCATGTATTTTTCCTACTAAAAGAAATGAATTTTTTGACAGGTGGTGGCACATGCCTTTAATCCCAGCACTTGAGAGGCAGAGGCAGGTGGATCTCAGTGAGTTCAAGGCCAGCCTGGTCTACAAAGCAAGCTACAGGACAGCTAGGACCATCCCACAGAGAAACCCTGTCTCCAAAACAAAAACAACAATAACAACAACAAAAAAGCAAACAAAAAAAGAAGAATTTTTAGATGTAGTACCTAATCTTGGTCTTTTGGCTGGGATTTCATCAGTGTCCACTGTAGTAGAAAACAGAGCACTGTAAAGAAAGGAAAAGAAGTACATATATACAAATGTAACACATGTATTTCTACAAATAAATTTACTCAGAGCTGGAGGCGTGACTCAGTTGTACAGCATGTATTTAGCATGTAAAGGACCCTGAGTTCAACACCTAGCACCAAAACAAAAACTTCATACAACAATTTTTCTTCCATTTACTAGTCATAAAATGAGATGAAACTCGGAAAACAGAATTCGATTTCCGTATCTTAAGACCCAACACTCCCTACCATGGGATGATGTGTCATCTAGTCAAGTTGAACCAATAAATCATCTGTTTTTGGAACAAGGACCTCAGAGACAACCATTTTTTACTTCAAGTGACAATATTAGCAACCTTAAGAGGTTAAGTTATTGGGGGGCTTTGGAAGGAGAGTTCGTAACTGCCCCACCTCACCCCTACCCCAGTGCTGGGGACCGAAGAAAGGACAGGCACGACAGACAAGCACTCTACCACTAAGGCACACCTCTAGTCCCTAAAATGAATTGTTTCATAAGACTAGAGTCCCTAAATATAGTAAAGAACAGGAGTAAGGCAGCAAAATTCAAGGCATCGAATGACTCTGAGGGACTATGAATGAGAATAATTGTGAGATTAACAGTCCCCAGTCAGGAAAACATACAGCCTCATTGTACTCCAAACCCAGCATAAAACACTGTAGTACACTACACATCACTTTAGGAACTTTATAGCGCTTAAAATGATCCCTTCTCTCTGGAACACGTGCTACAGTTTAGCTAACAACCAATTCCATCAGTGACCTACATTCCAAGAATCATCTCTGAACCATTTTGTTCTACTTCCCCTAAACCAATCTTTTATCCACTTCTCTTGACCTGGAAACACAAAAATAATAATCATCCTAATAAATGAAGCAGACACAGAGAGAAGAAAAGGAAGGACGGAAGGATGGGAGAGACTTACGGGGAATATAGAATTCGCACCGTATTTTACTTTCTAGAAAAATCCTTAATTAAAGGGGAAGAATGTAAAAAAAATGTAAAGGAGTGGATGCTAAGTAATAACATTTGTAATTTCCCTCTAATCTTGGAGTGCAGTGCCTACTTTCTTTCTGCCTCTTACACCGATGCTAAAGAACAGGACCACTCTCCTCCCCTCTAGCCCAACACTGACACAGCTGCTGTAAAACAAGACGACTGCTGTTCCTTGGTGCGAAGAGAACAGAACTCGCAGTCAAACTCCTAACCTACTGGTTTGTCCCTGCGCTGCCCGCCCGCCCGCGATGACACCGGGCGACCGGAGCTGTATCGGGCGAGCAGCACAGCGCCGGCCTCCCGCTCCCCTTCCGCTCACAGCGAGAGGGGCGGAGGGGCCCCAGGCC